AATGCCTAAGATTACACATTTACATAGATAAAGCTCATCGTATTGTTGTTATTATTACACTTTGGGCATGTTATTAATATTATTATTACAAACTCAGCAATTTATTATTATTATTATTAATATTATTATTATTAAAAACTTTGGCAAATGATTATCAGTATTATTAGTATTATATTTATTAAGGATTTAGGGTAATTTATTATTATTATTATTATTTGTATATGTTATGTTTGCCTTCTTTGTATCTTGTAGAGCCGGGTCCAAATTATGATCCTTAGGCCCTATAGAAGAATTGCCATTTAATTGATAGCACTTTTCTTTGTATATGGGATGTTCATAGTAGGGGCGATCTTCTGGGTAACTTGTTTGTTGATGTTACCTGGGATACTGTTAGTAAAATTGCTTATTAATTTTCTCACAATTTATTATTATTATTATTATTATTATTATTATTATTATTTGTGTATGTTATGATTGCCTTCTTTGTATCCTGTAGAGCCGGGTCCTATGGTCCTTAGGCCCTATAGGAGAATTGTCATTTAATTGATAGCACTTTTTTTAGTAGTGTTCCTAGTAGGGCGATCTTATGGGCAAATTGTATGTTGATGTTTCCTGGGATACTGTTAGTAAAATTGTCTATTCCTTTGCTCACAATTTATTATTATTATTATTTTTATTTTCTTTGATTTCTGGCGTTTACACATTTCTTTCCGGGTCCCGCCCTTAACCTAAGGTTAGAAATGGCGTCATGACACTTTTCACTGACAAAAAAAAAAAAAAAAAAAAAATTAAATTATATAGATAAAGCCCTTCGTAAGGTGTGGGCTGTACTTGTCAGAACAATTTTTTGTATCTCTTTGAGGTATGGACTTCCAGGAATCTCTTCAATTAGTCTACTGCAATCTTTTCCAACCAGTCCTAGGGCTCCAACTATAACAGGGATTGTTGATGTTCCCATATGCCACATTTTTGAGATTTCTATTTCAAGGTCCTTGTACTTTGACAACTTTTTGAATATCTTCAAAGATATCTTGCAGTCAGCAGGGACTGCCATATCAATAAGGAGGCACCGTTTTTGTTTGTGGTCTTTAATAACAATATCTGGTCGGTTGGCCTTGATTGTTCTGTCAGTGTGTATTGTGTAGTCCCATAGACTTGTAACAGGTCCTATCTCCGTACCCGGTTCTGGGTGGTGTTCATACCAGTTTCTTTCAGTTTTCTTACCGTAGAAGTTGCAGATTTTCCAGTGCAGATATTGGCCCACTCTGTCGTGCCGAGTTTTATATTCAGTGGGTGCCAACACCGTGCAACCTGATACAAGATGATCAATCGTTTCTGGATATTTATCACAGAATCTGCATTTTGGGCTGACACAATATTTTAGTATATGTGCTTGATAATTCCTACTTAGCAAGCATTGGTCCTGCGCAGTTTCCGCTTTCAACCCTGCACTACGTAGCCACTGATGGGTACTGTTTTTTGAGTTTAGCTCAGTATTTAGTACCAGACGTACACGCCTGTAGTACTCTTTTCTTATTTTTTCCTTCATTTGGGGGTGTTGTATGCCATCTCCTTCGCTAATTCCTAGGTAATTATAAGCTTCATCATGCTCCAGTTCCCTAATCTTTGTGACAAAATCTAAATCTATTAAGGGAGTTTCTGTAATTTTACCTTTCTTAAAAGTTACTTTTGCACATTTATCTAATCCGAAGTCCATACCTATGTCGTCCCTGAAGTATTTTACAATATTGAGGAGGCCTTTCAACTCATTGTCGTCTTTGGCAAAGAGTTTGAGATCATCCATGTAGAGTAGGTGATTGAATATTTTCTTATTTATTTTGTAACCATAGCTACTGTTGTTCAATTCATGTGTAAGGGATTAAGGATAAACAAAACAGAAGGGGTGACAGAGAGTCTCCTTGAAAGATTCCACGTCGGATATTCAGACGGTTGGATATGGCAGTGCCCCCGGTGTGACTAAGGTATAGTTTGGTGTTCCACATTCCCATGCTGTGCTTAAGGAAATTTAATACCACAGGGGAGACTCTGTACATTTCCAAAGTCTTAAGGATCCAAGAATGTGGAACACTATCAAAGGCTTTACGATAATCAATCCACGCTGCACTTAGATTCCTGCGTCGTCTTCTGCAATTTTCCAGGATCATTTTATTTATCAGAAGTTGATCTTTGCAGCCATATGAACCTCTTCTGCATCCCTTCTGTTCCAGCGGGAGAATGCTGTTTGTTTCGAGAAAGGAATAAGTACGGTTCGTCAGTACAGACGTGATCAACTTATACGTTGTGGAGAGACATGTTATCGGTCTATAATTTTTCGGGTCTTCTGTTTCAGTTGTTTTTGGTATGAGGTGTGTAATACCTTCAGTAATCCATTCCGGGATTTTATTGGGATTATTTACAAGCGTTGATAATGTTTTTGCAAGAATTTCATGGGTAGATGAGAGATGATACAGCCAGAAATTAGGCAACTTGTCATTTCCTGGGATTTCCATTTTGGGATTTCGTTAGAGCTTGCCTAACATCATCTGTGGATATATTTTCCCATTCTTGCAGAGGTGTATCCAGCAGTCGTTCTTCTTCACGCCGTATCCATTCTGCATTTGGGTTATATTCCTTTGGGCTGCTCCAAATATTTTCCCAAAATGTCTGTACATTACCAATCGATGGTGGCCTTTCGACATGTATAGGTGTTTTTCCAATTTCCCTGTAAACTTTCTTAAGATCTGTTCGGAATATTTTATTTTGGCGATAGAACCTACAACGTTTTTCGTATCGTCTTGTTCTCTGCGCCTTTAGCTGAAGTTTCTGCTTCAGCATTTCCTTGATTGATGGAATATCAATTAGGGATTTAATGTTATATTTCCGCTTGATCTTTTTGCATTTAAGTGTGGAAATATTAGGGTTTCTGGTGAGCTAATCTAATATAGAAAGATCACATCTGATTTGTTTTATTTCTCGAATCAGTTTGGTTTTCCAAGCTGGTTCTCTGTGTCTGTTAATTTTATTTATTGTCTTGACTCCAAGCTTCCGAGTCGCTGCTAAAGCTGTGGCGTATATGACGTTGTTAACTTCTGTGATGTTTCCCGGTGGTTTATCTGTTAACAATGTTTCCAGAGCAGCATTGTATATTTTCACGATGTGCTTGTTGGAATTCGTCATATGGATTTTCGGGAGCTGGTCTCTGTCTGACAATTGTATGAAAGTTACTCTGCTGAGTACTTGGATGACGTCATTTTCCGCTTCGGTGATTTCAGCTTCGTGGTTTTCAAGGAATTCTAACTTATTGTCACTGAAGATGACTCTAGGTACGTTTTCTGGAGGACTGCAGGTTGTGTTTAAGGTAGAGTCTTGAGTTTCATTTCCTGGGAGATTATTTCGTATTTCATTCGCTTTAGCGTCCACCTCATCCTCTGTTGCATTCCTTATTTCTATATTCGTCTCAATAGAGTTCGAGTGATGGGTCATAGTATTTTGTCATATCTAATTTTATCTTATCTATTTCTGCCTTTGAGAGTCTGTTGTTTCGCATGATGTCTCTACGGACATTGGCAAGCATGTTTGGATTGAGGTTAGGTCTTATATCATTTCCCACCGTACTTCTCCATATTTGGTATGTTTGATTGGTGGTGTTCTTTGCTGGGTTTTCGAGTGCAGTGAAGAAGGACGTCATGACTTGTCGATACTCTTCGCGCCTCCATTTCGTTCGTTTACTTTTTATTAGTCGATTTGGTATTGAGTCACTTGGTCCAAGGTTGGCAATAATCCGGGTTTGGTGACCAAGTGTCTCTTCGTGTGTGGAAGAGTTTGTTCCAGTGGCAGACTTTTCGTCCTCAGACTGGTTCCTCTCTGAGGGACGCGGCCCTTGTTGTCCCGGTTGATGGCTGATCCGGTATGAAATATTATTCGTATTCATTGAAATTGGTAGAGATGCGTTTTAACCTTGACCGCCAAGGGGTAATTATGTTCAGTTTACCAGCTTTAGGACGAGTCTCGAAGAAGATCCAAGAGCACGCCCAAACAATGAGATTGTGGATTTATTAATATAACGAAGGTAGAATAGTTCATTAACGAAGGTATAATAGTTCATATTATTATTATTATTATTATTATTATTATTATTATTATTATTATTATTCCAACTCCTAATGGACCTGAAAAAGAAAATATTGTAATAAAATACCGGCGTTCTGTTTTATTAGATAATCATGTCGGTATATTTTCAATATTGTGATTTCTTGCATTATATCCAGCTGTATTGCTAGCTTGTTTTTTGTATACAATGATGCTTTCTTTTTTTAGCCGAAGTTTTTTTGTTATGTATTGTTAGTTTGCTTTAAAGCTTACATACGTAAATACAATGGGAACTTTTTTTCCCTAAATATGACCTGGAGGTGTCTAATATATTCGTTTGTATTTTAAGTTGTTAGTTAGAGTATTTCTCATGAAATAAAGTTAAAACATAAAAATTCGAATATTCCTTCCGTTTAACATCACGCAAATGTTCTGTCGTCCATTTTATAAAATATGACTGATTTTTAGTCAGTTTGTTCGCTCGAAGTTTATCATCGTATCTGTGTTATGTAAGGACAGAGTATTGGCAGTGTGTTCGTTCGTCTGGAACATTGCTATTACGGGTATTAGCGTAGGACGTGCAATATTCGATCAGACAATTAATTGGTAAATTAGAAAATAGCAGTGAAATAATTAAGCGAGTTGGAGACGGAATAGGGGGGGTGTACAGAGGGAATGGAAATGATTCGAGCATCGATTGATTAGGTGGGCGGAATTGGATAAGATAGATAGATAGATAGATAGATAGATGAATGGGAAAAACTTGTACATATATATATATATATATATATATATATATATATATATATATATATATACATAGATACATACATAGATACATACATACATACATAAATACATGCATGCATAAATACATACATATGAAATTAGACGTAAAATAAAATTGAGACAGATAGATAGATGGTAAAAACTGGGGCAGATAGATAGATAGATAGATAGATAGATAGATAGATAGATTCATACATACATACATACATACATACACACTTATGAAATTAGATTGATATAAAATAAACTGAGGTAGATAGATAGATGGTAAAAACTGTGATAGATAGATGCATATATACATACATACGTACGTACATACATACATACATACATACATACATACATACATACATACATACATACATATATCCATGCAAGCATGCATACATAAATAAATACATACATATCAAATTAGATAGACATAAAACAAACTGAGATAGATAGATAGATAGATAGATAGATAGATAGATAGATAGTCTGTTATTAAATTACCAGTTTTCCTATTGTCATTTTTATTCATAAATAGATAGATAGATATGGACAGGATTGTGATAGATAGATAGATAGATAGATAGATAGATAGATAGATAGATAGATACCTCATCTTTGTTGTTATTGTCACAACGTTTCGGCCGTTGTAACATCTGGCCTTCTTCAGGTGTCTGTCGACCCGGGTAGTTCAAAATGGACGTTTTATTTAACCTACAATGTTAGATTGTTTGCGCCCGGCTGTCCATGAAACGGGATATCTCGTCTTATTCTTTTTAGATAGATAGATAGATAGATAGATAGATAATGAACATAATGAAAAAGAAAGAAAGAAAGAAATGAACAGACTGAAACAGCTAACTCGCTAGCTAGCTAGATAGATAGAAGCATGCATATATGCATATGCAATCAAATAGATATACAATAAACTGAAGTAGGTAGACTGATGTGAAAAAACTGAGATAGATAGCTAGATATTAGGTTGGTGCAAAAATAATGTAATAATGTCGTTTTTGGACCTATTTTTTAACGTCAAAAAACGACATTATTACGTCATTATTTTTGCACCAACCTAATAGATTAACTGATATGAAACTAGAAATATAGATGTAAAATATATATGATAGGTAGATAGATAGATACATACATACATACATCCATACCTACCTACCTTCCTACCTACCTACCTATACATACCTCTCTACATCTCCGTCTCATCACATCTATCTATCTATCTATCTATCTATCTATCTATCTATCTATCTATCTATAGGACTGTCCATGAAACGGGATATCTCGTCTTATTCTTTTTAGTACTGCTGAGTTATTACTCGCCCTGTTGCTGAATCGAGAGTCTATGCTGATGCTCATTTGGTAGCTGACCTCTCTTCCGACCTAGCACTAACTACCCAGTGAAAAAAATACTGACCAGTAATTCAAATGCGTAGAAAACCAAACTACTTACATTCCATCACCACCGATTGTACCCCGAATAACCGCTACTCACGCTGAACGTTTGTCCCCTCGAAGAGGCTCCGTGCCTTGAGAGACTATTAGACGATTAGTGGAACTCTTACATACGATCCCTCTCTAAAGATGCAGGGCAAATAGTCGACACCCTGTACCGCTATTTCCTCAAGGATTGTGAAGAGACTCTAGGCGACAGAGATGTGGTTCTACAGAAGGTTGCTGAGGATATCATGGACCGTGCGTGTGAACAACGATGAGGTCTTAGAGAGGTGTGAGAATTTCTTCTCACACAGTTCAACCCTTGGCAGAGACAAGAAAGACAAACAATTCAACAAGGTCTACCTTAAAACTTAAAACAAATTTTATTGTATCCTTGCAAAAAAAGATTTTGCCCTTTTTTGCCCCTGAGAACAGGGTAGGGTAGTTCTTCAATGGATAGGTAGTGTCTTTTACTTCTGTAGGACACAATCGGTCACTACGAGGTTAGAAAAGCTGTCATTAGCTGGTCGTTGCTGGAGCATTTCGGTTGCTGAAGTTGAAACTCGGCTATTGTCGAGTTTGTTCATAAAGTTCTTCGTGTAAACGTACACATTTGACGACAGTCATTATGACTGAATTCCACAGCCTTGAAGGAAATAAGATGGGACATGAAGTCGACTGAAGCATTACCATTTGGTTGCTGAAAGGAATCTTCAATGCCTAATTATTAGGCTTGGACTTAAAAGGCCGTGCAAAGAAATTCAAAGTTGAGTCCGGACCATTCCAATAATAATCCGCAACTGTCTCTGAAGCATTACCATTTTGGTTGCTGAAGGACATTCAATGCCTAATTATATAGGCTTGGGCGCTAATAGCCCTGACAAATAGATTCAAAATGAGTCCGGACACTTACAATGCTAATCCGCAACTAAGTCAAAAGGGCGCGGGCCGTTGTAAAATGCCCGCGAAAAAACCAAGTCAAAATTCGACCAATGAGATTTGGTCGTTACAAAATTAGCCAATAGGAGCTTAAATTGCAAAATTTCTTACAGAGGATGCAAACAAGGAGGAGGCTTATGCTTAACATGAGGATGAGGCAGCTCAAGTTTCTGGGACACATATTGAGAAAGGAGGGCTTGGAGAATCTGATACTCACGGGCCGAATAGAGGGAAAGAGAGACAAGGGAAAACAACGCGTGACATACCTGGCGGGTTTAAGCAAGTGGATGACAGAACGTGGACTGGAGTAGAAAGCAGAGGGAAGGAATATTTACGTGACATCTATCTTTATTTACGGCAGCGAATGTTGGACGCTTTCCTCAAAGATGAAGACGAGACTCGAGGTGACGGAGATGTGGTTCTACAGAAGGTTGCTGAGGATATCATGGACCGAGCGTGTGAGCAACGATAAAGTCTTAGAGAGGCTTCAAACAAGGAGGAGGCTTATGCTTAAGATCAGGAAGAGGTAGCTGAAGTTTCTGGGACACATAATAAGGAAGAAGGGCTTGGAGAATCTGATACTCAATAGAAGGAAAGAGAGACAAGGGAAAGCAACGCGTGACATTTCTGGCGGGGTTGTGCAGGTGGATGACAGAACGTGGTCTGGGGGAGGAAATAGAGGGGAGCAACTTGCTGAGAGCTGCAAGGGAGAGAAGGAGGTGGAGAGCCATGATCGCCTACGTCCTGAAAGGACATGACACATAAAAGAAATACCTCACTACACATGCTATCCTCTACGTTTATAAGATCAGACCTTTTAGGTGACGAATTGCTTTCCACCCTTCAACCGCTCTCTCACGGGCGGAATGTGGCAAGCCGCTCTCTGCTATATCACTACTTTCATGGAAAGTGCTCGGACGAACTACATTCCTTGCTTCCGGCAGGTTAAACCTTCACGGCTAGGACCCGCCACGCCACTTTTATTCTAGCAAAGCACCCACATTCCCTCCGTATTCCATTGGTGAGAAATAAGTTCCATTCGAACATCTTCCCATAAACCACTGCTTTGTAGAACTGACTCCCAAGAGGATGTTTTCCTTATCACTACAATCTTAACCTGTTTAAGTCTAGGGTTACCCATTATTTCCCACTCATATCCGTATAATCTGCTTCTTAAATTAACTCTCTACTGCGAGTGGCCCCCTCGTACAGTTGCGTAGGAAAAGTTTTTAGTCACTAGAAATAAACTACATCCAATTCCAAAATTTAATCACGTAATCTCTATTCAACATAAACAAACAGTATTTGGAACTAGTATGGAGTAGGTTCTCCATTTGCTAATTTCATTGCTTGTATTCGATTTTTCATGGATTTGATCAAGTTATCAACAATCGTCTGAGCCATATTTTGCCACTCCTTTAACAATGTTTCTTGACGTGATTTTGGTTGCACGCTCTCAAAGTTTTCAGTCAAGGTGCTCCCAAACGTGGATTCATGTCAGGATTTTGGGATAGCCATGGCAATGACTTGATTCCTTGCGATTCCTTCCAGGCTTTTGCCACTTTACTTGTATGACATGGCGCTCCGTCTTCTTGAAATAGGTAGGCATTCTTGTCAATCTGATTGATTTCAAGTATTGGGAGTAGTGCTTTCTCAAATATTTGACAGTATTTTGAACCATTCAACCTTTCGTCAACAAGAATCAGCTCAGATTTCCCTCCAGACCAGACATCGCCCCCACACCAATACTCCAATCCCTCCATGTTTCACACCCGCCTGCAGACATTCAGTGTTCCAAGTCTCATCCTGATTTCTCTAAACATAAACCTGTCTCGATTTCGAATATTGCCAGAATTTACTTTAATCTGACCAAATTACAGACTGCCAAAATTCATAATCCTTCCTCTCGAATTCTCCCACCCAGTCCATACGCCTGTTCCTGTTAACCTCTGAAATCAAGGGCTTCTTTCTTACAACTCTTCTTTGATATCCTAGCTCTTTCAGAATCTTTCTCATCGCATATGGCGACATTTCCATACTGTTGGCGACATCTTTGACGCTCTGATGACAGTTTCTGATGACTTCCCTATTCAGTGCCCTTTTCGTTCGCTCAGACACGATGCTTGGTCTTCCTGAACGTCGTTCCACAGGACAATGGCCATCATTAAATTTCTTGACAAGCTTATTAACCGTTTGATTATTAACCTAGAAAAGTTTAGCCCTCTTTCCTCATTATGTGTTCTGAAATTTCAAACTGTCTCCTTTTGATTCTATTTGTCCCTTTTTCTATTTTCCTTAAAATGTTATCGTTTCTCACGTGTTCAAATGCTGTTCTCAGCCTGATCTTATAGTATCGTAATTCTTTTGCCTCATTTCACTTCTTCGTCTGTGAGGGAATTGTCCAGCCTTCACTGTCATATAGAAGGACCAATATAAAATAACAATTCAGTATACTTTGTTTCAAAAGAAATATTTATGTGTCTTAGTTAATTTGGAAGGTATCATTCGTTATTCAAACGCGTTTTCGTATCTATCTATATTTCAAGAAACAAGGCACAGTGGATAAAGGCGTTGGTTAGATCCAGTGACAGGACCCAAAAAGTGTTGAATTCAATACCCGGCTAAGGCAGTGGAGAACTTTCAGAAGGAAATTAACAGGAGATAACTGACATCCATTAAACATGGCATGTGGAACTAGAACAGTCTACCCCAGCGAGCGAAATAAAAGGTTCAGTTCGAAATTCCAACCACCTGAAGGAGGCCGGAGCGTACAACGGCCGAAACGTTGTAATAAATATGGCGACAAGATGAGGACAATAGTCCGAATAATGTAAATAGTGAACGCGTTTTCGGTGTCACATTTTCTATTTTTTGTTAAAACAAATTCTAGATAGTTCAATTTTATTTCATGCTGTCTGTAATTCGTAGTTCATATCTTGGGTTGTTAGTTTTACAGACAACAGGACATTTTCATCATACAATTGATAAATAGTCTTTTTTCACACTTTCCTTTAATACATTCTGACGGAGCTCCTTTACTCGAACCCCAAACATTACTGCCAGAAATAAACTCGGAAGCCAAAAAAAAAAAAAAAAAAAAAAGTTGAATTGACGCATTCATCCTGTAGCCTTTCTCCTGGATTTCTTCTGATATACATTCTCCCCTTATTATCAAAAATTTCAAATTTCGTCTCATCTGTCCATCATACATTTTGTCACTCTTTCAGTGTTCAGTGATTTTTTTGTCCATTTCTGTTTATTTATCTTCCATATAAAGAGGTTTATGCACCCCTAGCCCCGTTGATCTAAATCAGTTTTTTTTCCAGTTGAGAGCAACACTGGTTGTTGTCGAGAGATGTTGAGTTCAGCTGTCTAATCTGGAGTATTTTTCCTTCTGTTTCTTTTACTGTAAATAATCAAGTGATTATCTTCCGCTGCAGTTGTCACTTTTGGTGCTGCAACTCTTTTTTTCTGTCAACATTTGCGATAGTTTCTAACTGGCGTGATTACAAAGATTGCGCCACACGCCTAGAAATCTTTTTTTTTTAACTTCTTGGTAAGCATCGATATTTCTAGAATTTTTCTTTTATAAAAATTGCGTATCCAACCAAACGGCCTCGTTTTCGGAATGCCTAGTTCAACGGCTCGAGTGTGCGTTACAATTAGGTCCCTAACTTCTTTAGAAAAAAACAGTTTTTTTTCGGGCATTTTCTCCAATGAACGATGTCTTAAACGATATTTTTTCACATCTACGCACAATTGAAATAATAAAAAAAAAAAATGTATTGATTTTATTTATTGATTTTT